ACACACACACACACACACACACACACACACACACACACACACACAGCCTGTGGAATACGTGACTCATAAAGTCGAGCATTTCTTCCCATCAAAGGTGACGTTCTAGAAGGAAGTTTAATGTCTGAGGAGCCTCTCGTCTTATTGGTCAGCGTAGTCAGCTGACACAGACTCACACACAGACTGCGTGCTGTGTCCAGCAGCTCAGTCACATGTGACTACAGATTCCACTAACCAATCAGATCCCTTCTCAGCGCTGCAGCTGTATGATGGGTTCAAACAGCAACGCTCCAAAGCTGTTAGTGGTTTTGGGTTCACAGTAGACAAATCAAGAGCATAACAGCATTCACTTTCAAAATAAAAGACCTAAAGGATGTGAGAGGTAAGGGCCTGCTTATGATAGCTGGATGCTCAAGCCTCTGTTTTGACCTCACTGCTTTTGCTGGTGCTGGTTGAGCAAATTATTAGTGGGTGCACAGGAGGTTCTGGTTTCCTTGGTGACGAAGAGCCAGCTCCTGCAGCATCCTGCGTGACTGAAGGGAGGTGAAGGAGCAGGCTGTTAGATCACATGTGGACCAGTCTGAGCTCATCACAACCTGCAGCTCTGGAGTTCCACTTCCACTGAGACCATCAGTGGAAGTGGGTTAATGAATGTAAGAGCAATAACAACGTATAGTGAAAGCCCAACAACCTCACAGCAGGATGAGCCGCAGTTTAAAACAACCACAGTGTTTAAAGAGTCTCCTTCAATAAGCACATTCATAACTGCATTAAGGCCTCGTTTCCTATGAGGCCCATAAAACTGCACAGAAGCTCAGAGGGAGTCTGGATTCACTCAGCCAGCTGCACAGTGATGCAGTGAGCTCGGCTGTATCGCAGCTGCTGCCCAGTCGCTCACAGCATTTGGCTGTCAGCTAACTAACTGATGAAATTTGGTCATAACGACGCAGGCTTTAGGTCAAATGTAAAGCAGCCACATGGAGGAAGCACAGCCAGTGGGTCAGCAGCTGTCAGGACCAGATGTGCTGACAGATGTGAAGATCAGTGCTAGCCCGCACAAGCTGGACTCCTTCTGACGTCCTTTGATTGCCACGAAGAAACATTTAGAACAACACTTTCCCAGCATGCACAGACTGTGTTGTGCTTCCTGTTGAGAACAGCAAATGTTGGGAAGTTGAACAGCGTGATTAGACCTGATCTCAATGATCTGATCAAACCTTTCTCTCCAACGCACAACGCCAGTATGTCCACTACGATGCACTGTGTGACACTCACACAGCATGTTTGTGTGGATGCTTATGTGGTTGTGCATGTCTACAACCAGGTGGCATGGTCGTAGACATGCTGAGCAGGTGCTGAGAACTGTGGGCCGCACTGAGAGTCGATGTGCACTTTAAAGTGTGTACTTGGAGGTAACACTGCTACACAACACTGGCTGTTTGGAATTACAAGGACACATTCTGCACATATGACTTGATTGTCTGAATTTGTGGGCGGTGCCAACTTTACGAGCAATCTGTCCTGCTCTCCGTCTTCCTCACCTTCATCACCCATTACACCAGTAGACCCCAGCAGAGACAGAGGCAGCGTTTGTTACACTATGCTGTGAGCGAGACAGAGCAGAGAGCAACACAAGCACGACTGACAGCAGCCGCAGAGACCTGCCGGGTCCACGCCCACAGAGCAGCGAGACCCGTTTCCCTCCCAGTAACGCCGCCACAGCACCTTGAAGCTGAATGAAAGCATGTCTTCCTCTGACATTCACTTCTCATTAGTGCAGGTCTGTCATGGGCATTAGCGGGCTGATACACAGCAGAACCTGGAGGGCTGGATTAAACAGAGCTCACACAAAGCACGAGTACAACGGTGGAGGAAGCACAGCTTCTTAATTAACATCTAACAGATGGGGCTGCATGTCGGCCTGATGAGGGGGACAGACACCTGCAGGTCTCACACACAGACAAAGATGCCTTTCTTCTCGGGTCTTTGCGTCCTGACATTACGAAGCGAAGCGTCATCTGAGAAGGAAGTTTGCTCCTGCCACGATCAGCTGTCAGTGCGCGGCAGGAAGTAATATCAGCAGCTTTTACTCACTCTGCGCTCGGCACAGACTTCCAGCCAAGCAGGGATATTTAGATAATCCTCCCAGGGAGCCCTCTCCTCCTTCCCAATATGAGGTGAGGGCGGCCCTGCGAGAGAGGCCCACTGCACACCTCACTTTATTACAGCTAATCTCAGAGATGACCGCAAACGCACGGCTGGCTCTGACAGGTGCAGGGGAGGAGGAAAGTGTGTGCGTGCTTTTTTATCAGCATGTGTGGATCAAATTAAACTTACTGCTTCCTGCTCCGCTTTCCTGGTCAGCAGAGCCTCGTTCTTGGCCTCAAACTCTGCCTGGATGTTGTCTCTCCGTCTCATCACAGCCTGCCACAAACCACCAGAGACCTGCTGTCAGCGCACACGCTGTGACGTTTTCACTCACACACTCAGGCGACACAAAGAATGTGACATTTGCAAATACACACATGGCATCACAGAGCAGCACTTTGTTCCTGTCTCCATATTCTCTGTCACACACCTGCTTTCCCAGAGCTGGATGAACAAGGTTAAGTTGTTAGGTTAAAGGTCACACTGCTGCATGCTCCACTTCCACAGTGATTCTCAGATGTTACCTGTGGAGTGGCTGAGTCACAGCCAGCATCTGCTCCACACGGTGCTGTGTCTGCTCTGCTGTTAGTGGCAGGAGTGTCGCCTCCACGCTACATGCTAAGGCCCACTAACACTGCACTTTTAAAGAGAAACACAATGAGGAGAAGCTGCTGCTCAGGAGGTCGGACAGGTTGTCGGTTCAATGCCTGACCCCCTAAGTCTGGATCACTGGTCCCAGACAGGGAACCCCGTGGTTCCCCCGAGCCCCTGAATGAGCGCACAGCGCTTCGAGTGTTCGGTGTTCAACTTTGACATCACACCTTGTCTTACTGCTGCTCTGCATCGAGCCCCACCTGCAGAGCACCATCACAGGTGAAGCGTGCTCATGCCTCACCTTGAGCGTTTCAGCGCAGAGGACATACTCGTGCAGGGCAGGGACCAGGACCTCCGACAGATGCTGGATGTGCTCTTCTGCTTCCTTGCTGCACTGCACCACACAGCTGGCCACGCCCTTCAACGGCTCCGTCAGCTCCTCCTCCAACTCCCCCCACCGGGCGTAGGTGGGGCTGTACTGCTTCAAGTCGTCCACATACTCTGGAAGCACAGGGGAAAACACAAAGACTCGTTTTCAGACCAGGAGGTGCTGTTAGCTACACAGAAGCAGGTCACAGGAAGTGTTGCAAAGAAGTAAAGGGTGAGACACTGTGAACACATCACGTGAGCGGCTGCTGTCTGTACTGACACGGAGCGGGTAACGTGTTAGGAGAGGAGGGTGCCAAATGGAAAAGAGGGCGGAGTCCAACTCTGACAGCCTGAAGACCAAAGTGAGAAAACGATGCGGCAAAATGCTGCTCGGTGGTTTGGATGCCCACAGACGCCTGTAGTATAACTTACCTCACTAACCCACTGACATCTGTTCATATAAGCACTTTTTCCCTCTAACACACACGCTTACACTCAGACAGTAACTTGGGTTAGCGTGCTGCCCAAGGATATCTGGCAGACACACTGGAGCAGAATCATGAGGAAAACCCTCATGAAGTTAGTTTCTCATTGTGTGGTTAGAGGCACTGACAACGGTGGCCTGCAGGAGGTCATTTCTGGCACTGCTCGTCCTGCCACAGAGGAGCCCTGCAGATGGGACCAGATCACTACTTGATGCCATACTACTACTACTACTAACAATACATTTTATTTGAGGGCGCCTTTTTAAAACCCAAGGTCACCTTACAAAGAGAAAATGACGTCAACAAAACAGTAGATTAAAATAGTTTCTAATAAATTAAAATACAAAAAACAAAACACGATTTGAGTAAACCGGTTTGAACAAGTACAAAGTGTCTGAACAGAGCATGAGAAATTGAGTTTTTCACTTGGACCAAAAACACGTATTACCCACAATTCACCTACACAGCTGATCAGTGATACCGTGGATACTGGTGACACTGTAACAGAGGAACAAGGTGTGGAACAATATGTGCACATGAATATGTTGTTTACAGAGATAATGTACCCTCAGTAAGAGGAACTCTCCTCCAAAGAAGACTCGTGTTGTCATGTGCAGTCATGGCTCAGCCATCTCTCCATCAGTGACCACAGAGACATCACTCATTGGGTCAACATGAGGGGAGGAGCTGTGCTGGGTTGTAAAGCAGCTTGCAGCTGTATGCAGGCTAAAGCAGCTTAAACTGTGTACACTATATGAGGTGTACAGAGGGTGCCAGGAAGCATCTGAGTCTGACTCCTCTGATATGGAGGAATAAGAGCCATGTCCTTCTGGGAGGAGAGCCTGCAGCGGATACCTCTTTGTTCCTTGACGATCCTCTGGCTGACTTTGTCCATGCAGCACATCTTGTTACTGAAGTCGTCCACGTACTCCTGCATCACAGCGAACTCCTCAGGCCGGCTTCTGAGGCCTCGGACTGAGTTGGCCACTGCTCTCACCGTCTCCCCCATCCTGCTCAAGAAGCCCGGTCCCTGTTTCCTGTGAGGTGCCAGATCCTGGAGGGTCAAAATACCACGAGTCACAATTCAATTCATTCTAAAACCAGAAGTGTGTGTGTGGTGTGTGCATCCGTGCATCAGACACACACCTGTGCAGTGAGGAAGACTTGGAAGTGCTGGCTGTAGGACAGGATGGGATGCTCGGATATCTTGTTGAGGAAGCGGTGCAGAGCTCTCCTCCTCGTCTCAATGAAGTCGTCGTTGAAGCGCTCCACCATGCCTTTCATAACAAACTTCTCTGGGAGGGGCTGGAGACAGAAACGAGAGAAGCGTGAGAGACGGCGATATCAGACCGGGAGCTGTTCCACGTCGCCCCATTTTGTCCAGAAAAGTGCAGAAGAGGGCGAGATGCATTAGACTCCTCGTAGCAGTCTATTTTCATTGGTCAATTCTAGCAGAGCAGCTTTGCATGAGCAGCAGGTGGGTGGGGCTACACGCCTGATGCAATCACATGAGAGATATCCTCTCTATGACAAACACACCTAAGAGTAGCTCTGTCCTGGCAGAGCAGTAAGCTAACCAACATACACATACAGAGCTGGAAATGAGGACGGTGGCTTTGCTTGAACTTCAGACCTCAACAATCTTTCATGTTCCAACAGCACAGAAAGCAAAGAAATGGTCCTGCAGCCTGTGACTGTGAATGAATGAACTGACGCATGCACATGCCTTGCAGTAGTGTGCAGCAGCCTGCAGCTGTGCAGAGCAGTGACCTGGTGAGCTGATACGTACGTGGACGATTAGTGTGGGGTGCTTTTCTTCTAGTTTGCTACGGAGCCACACAAAATCCTGGTAGCGTCGTCGTACCTCGTACTCACTGGAGTCAAAGTCACTCCGAGTGGTCTGGAGAGAGAGACATGAGTACAGACAGAATCTGTTAACACACACATATACAGACATTTACTGCTCAAAGCTTTTTGAACATGCCAATTCTTTACTGCAATTCAAGTTGTTCAAGTCCAACGAATTACTTGAAATGGTTCAAACATAAGTGGTGAACTGACAGAAGTTAAACAAAGGTCACCCAAAACTGAAAAATAATGTACATTTCAGAATTATACAAAATGGCCTTTTTCAGGGAACACAACTTGGGTTTAAATGTGTTCTGCAGCAATGGAGGCTGATCGAGCCTTGAAAGCTTCTGCTACTAATTCCTGGAGGAGGAAGTGTGATGGTCTGGGGCTGTTTGCTGGGTCGGTGACTTGTACAGAGTGAGAGGCTCCCTGAACCAAAACCACAGCGTTCTGCAGCACCATGCAGGACCCTCTGGTATGGACCTAGTTGGTCAGACGTTCATCCTACAGCAGGATAAAGACCCAAAACATAAATCCAAGCTGTGCCAGAACCACCTCAGGAAAGAAGAACAAGATGGTGAGCTTGAAAACATGGAGGTCCAGCACAGTCTGCAGACTGAAACTCCATCGAGCTGCTTTGGGATGAACTGGACATAAGAGTGAAAGCACAGCAGCCTACAAGGTCCACATTTATGGGAAGGTCTTCCACAGAAATGGAAGAAGATTAGATTTCTGTCATAGAAAGAAGCCACGGCTGTGCTCAGCTGTTATATCTGCAAAGGTGCGACTTTGATGAGTCAAAAGCTTAGAATATAAACTGATTCCGTGATTTCTTTTTGAACTCCAATTGCTTATTCATGCCATGCTTTCATTTCACAGTGCAATCAGACATCAAACTGCATCATAAAAACCACAGACGTGGACAGTACTGTCACAGTAAGGATCTTTCTGTGG